ATGAGGATGGGGGTAAGGCAGGCCCGGTCGCAAGGGGGGGGGGTTTGGGGGTTAACCCCCCCATTGACGAAAAAATATATATCATGTTTTTCATTTTTAATTGATTATATTAGATATTTGATTATCTTATTTGTTATAAAAATTGCAGAGGACTGTTAGCATTGCATATTCTTTTTGGTTTACACGTTTTAATTAATTATTTATTTTATTAATAAACCGTTAAAAAATGTATTTATAAGAGCTTATTTCAGGATTTTTAAGTGCATAAGTGCACGCATAATCAGTTTTTTTAGGGGACAGAAGTCTTGTGCTCTAGTTATAAAATAATAATGCATAACATAATAGCACACCACTATTATTGTGTTACTCTCGTGTTTGGTGTTTATCGGTTTCCGTTTCCTTTTCAATTACTATCAGCAATAAAAACATTAGAATTTCAAATTTCAATTCACGTTTTAAATTCAGTACATGCATTGTCTTTATCATTGAGTAGAGTTTTACAAGCGGAAAATCAAGATTTAGTCGAGGCCATGAAGTTGGCAGATGCAGCAAAACACGAACTTGAGGAAAGAAGACAATATTCTACAGATAACTTCAACACAATTTTTATAACTGTAGAAGATATTTGCAATAAGTACAATATACCTGTGACTAAACCTAGACTTGCCTCACGTCAAATTAACCGTTCTAACATTATAACCGACTCTGTAAAAGATTATTACAAAATTATTATTTACATACCATACCTTGATTTATTTATTACTCATCTTCAAGATCGCTTCCTCAAGCATCGTAATATTTTGTCAAACTTCTCATGTCTTTTTCCTATTGAAACAAAATCTTTAGACAAAGATTCATGTAAAAAGTTATTTGAAACTTATTGTTCAATTTTACACGACGATTCCCCAGAAATTTGGATAAATGAGATAGAAATTTGGCGACGACGACAAGCTGGTAAAAATATTCGAAACGCCCTCGATGCCCTCGATATTTGTAATTCAGATTCGTTTCCAAATGTTCATAAAATGTTATGTGTAATGTCAGTTTTGCCGGTGACTACAGTGACTAATGAAAGGTCATTTTCAACATTACGTCGGCTTAAAACCTATTTAAGGTCATCTATGGGTAAAGATCGTTTAAACGGACTAGCTTCGTTGGATATCCATCGTGACATAAACGTGGATATCAACGAAGTATTAAACAAATTCTTTTCTACTCATCGTAGATTAAATTTATTAAAAAAATAATTTTTAATTTTATAATTTTATCATGATTTATTTATATTATAAATATATAGTATATAATATTAGGTAGTTATTGATTTATCTATTAAATATAAATCTTTTTTAAAAAAAACCCCCCCATTGTCAAATCTTGCGCACGGGCCTGGATATGATGTACCTAAATATAACACCAAAATGCAAAACTATCAGTAATATGATTTTGGCCATTGTCACCCACCAGTACCTGTTTGAACGGAACGCCCGGTAATGATGTGCGGGTTAGTTACTATTCGTTTCTGGAGTATCTATATCATGCAGGAGAAAGAAGTAGGGAGTGGACTTTATAAATGAATAAAATGAATTTAGGAATATATAACAATTATCTGTATTAAAAGTTTAAATCAAATACCATATACATAAATGTAGATAGGGGGAACTATTAATGCTAATGTTACAATGCGTAAAATAAAAACAAATAATAAGAATAAAAATTAGATAAAACAATATGATTACAAACTACTTATACGATACTATTAATGATGACTGGTTTGATGTGAATGAAATGCGAATGAAGTTGTTGGCATGACAATTGTACCAGGCAGAACGTACTTTAGCGCGAATAGTACTTCAAGGTGTACGAATTTAATTTTCAATGCGCGTATCGCATATATAAACGTCTTTAACAATTACGTGCTCGCAAGCACCATAGAGCCATACAACAAAACGAGCTAGGATGGCAGCGAAAAACGCAAAAAATGTCACACAAGGACCGATAATAACTCGGCGAGACACAAAAATCATGTACACTAACATCCAACGTAATGAGTTTCTCACACAACCGGTGGTGATAGTGCGAGAGACGTTATCAGTCATAAAAATAAGATGTAGCAAAACAGTACCTACTGAACTAGTAAACTTTATTTCTTGAGTGAAAGTATATTCATCAAAGTTAACTATATCATCACTCAAGAAGTAAAATAATTGATATTTACTGCTATATTATGAGGTTTATTTGTATCTATAGGTACAAATAATATACAAATAAATAGTAATATATACTATTTTTTTATTAATCTTAATTATTTTCTATTGTAGTAAAATAACCACTCCGATTTTTTTTAATGTTTATGGAGTACAAATTTTATAATTATCTGCATTGTTAGAAAACATAAAAATACTTTAACAGCTTCACCAGTTTGCGCATTACTTAGATAACAAAGATTTTGTACTTCATTTGAACAATAATTTTTTTTGAAATAATGAAGTAAATAGATCATGAAATTTTAACCATTCTGGATAATAGCCAGAAAATTTACTTTTAGACTGTTCTTCAAAATGTACAAATGTACAACATGTACAAATTTTCAGAAATAATAGTATCGCTAACGACATACCATGTATTTTACCACATGTAAAAAATGGGTTGATCATCATCAGGGTAGATCTAAAGTAATGCAGAGCATCAGAATAAGGAAGAAGAAAGGAAGGATAACATATGAATGATGATGTGCAAGAATCAGCGAACTCTTTACCTTGGATCTCAACATGGCTAGTGACCCAATGGAACTGAACTTCTTTACCAGAGGTTAAAATTTTGTGGAGGACTGCTCTAATTGAAAGGATTATAAGGGAAGTTTAAGAATTAAAAGGATTAGAATTAATTGCCAGATAACAAGCCTGTGTATCTGAGCACATGAGAAAAGAGGTATCTAAAGAAACAGAAATGTAGAGTAGTGTATTGAAAATTGCAATGCATTCGGTAGTAAGGAGGAAGAAAGGAGATGCAGATTGGTAGAAAAGGAGATATCAAGACTTGGTATGTAAGTAAGGACACTGAGGCAGACCCATCAGTAAAAATTAGACGAGAATTTGAAAAGTTTGTAGAAATATAGTGAGAGAATAAATTATTAATAATGGTCAAAGGAAGGGATTAAAGGTTATAAGGCGCGAAGCCTATAAAATTAGTTAGAACATGAACAGAATGGGTGATGATTAAGGCCTCATAAGGACAGTTATAAATAGGGAGACGACTATAGGACTTCTGGATATGATTAGTGAGAGGAGAAAGTGAAGAACATATAGAAGCAAAGATAGGAAGAGATTTGGGGACATAACGGCAAAGTTAGTGAACAGTTTTAAAAAGATTAAATATTGAGGGTTTAGGACAGGAAATAGACTTTAGGAGAAATTTGCCCATAAGGCGACGGCTTCTATTTTCGATAAGAAGATGACACGACACCGCCCTACGCTCTAGGCTGGCGCTCACCCATGTCTCTCTCGATATCAGCCGTCCAGCTATTAATATGACAATCAGTTGTTTCCCCGACACCGAGATAAGGCCGCCGCCGAGTATGGATTACGGATATTGCGTCCTGTTTCGTTTCCGACGAACACCTTAGCTGGTTTACCGCTCTGTGTTGTTTTAGTGTTTCTTTTGCGAAAAGTGTTTTTCCATTTAGGTATAACGACTACCGAAGTGTAGTTTTCTACATTGATATATTGACACACACACATATATATATATATAAATACATAAATCGATACATATACTGTTGGTGTTGTTACTATTATAATAATAAAGTACCATTAAAACATTTCTTTCTGGTGTTTTTACTGGGGACAAAGTTATACCGCACGTGTCGTACTCACTCCGTACTATTAGATACACCTTAATTCTTCAACAGTATATTGGATACACGATAAGGACAACAGCATTCAATTTCAAGGCTGGGAACAGAAGTAAAAGGTAAGGCGCCTAAAATTGACCGTAAGTAAGAAGCCATTACCAAATTAAGCTTATTACGGTGACATAAGGATGCAGAAGAGAAGAGAAAGGAACTGTAGTCAATCTTAGCGCGAATAATAGAGTTAAAAATGAAAAAAAAGGAAGAGGGGTGAGATTCCAAGATATCTTGGTAATACAACAGAGAAAATTAGACCATCGCTATGCAAAGAAAAAAAAGAACTGGAAATGAGGAACCAAGTTTCACTGGATGTAAATTACCCATAATGTTATTGACGCCTGTAGAAAGTAACACATATAAAGGTCCGGTATAGTTATCTGGAAAGTAAATAATACCGTTGTTATATTTGTTATGATTTGAGGCCAATAGCTTATTAGAGACAACAATAGCATGTAGTCATCCTGTGGAGGAACGGTGAGGTAATGGATTTTTTTGTTAGAGGACCACATGGAGACTTCGCTTTATTATGAATTGAACATTTCTGACCAGGAGCTAAATGATATTCAAACGATGATAATTGTCTATATATCGCGAGCGATTGAGGCCGATTTTGAGGGGTAGAACGACCCTCCCTATCAGGGCCTGATTAGACATAACCAAAGTAAAATATATAAAATAGTCAAACTATAGTGTTTGTGGATATATAACCAATTATAAAAAACTACTGAGTAACGGTGTAGTTAAAGGCTCGATGTGCGATAAGACGTCCGTACTTGTCGGCGGATAGAACTTAACTGGGGATTAAAGTTAAGTACAGTATTTTTCAATAGAAATTATTGGTCATAAATATATTTGACTAACCTCAATTCAAGTTACAATTTAAAATAATTCAAAATATATATTTCAGTAGACACTTTATTTTTATTTTACAATTTACTTCATATATATAAAAACTTCTGCTTAATTATAACTTAATAAATATAAATTTTCTTAATATTCATCTAACATAACTTTTGTGTTATTCGAAAAGTTTTTAAAGAATAATTTAGTTTTTATCAATAATAGTACTTAAAATTATAAATAATATTATCGGTATATTTTTATACCAATTTAATGTTAAAATACTTAAACAATCACACAAAATTAAGAAATAAATGACAATAAAAGAGGAATTCAACACAAGTACATTATTTAAAAATATATTATTACATATTGTTTTCTTGTTATAGCTATAGTATAAATATCATTATATTCAACGCTTAAAAATAAAGTTTCAGTAAATAGATTTATATGTCTTGAATGTATATTTTTTATTAGTGTTTGTAAAAAGTTAAAAATAAAAATTATAAATTTTTCTAAGTTTCCTTGCAAATTATTATCAATAGACATGTTTTTTTTTGTGATGGAAACTTGATTTAATATATTGTATAAAAATACTCTCTTACTATATCTTCAATTTTTTATTGCGGGACTCAGATTAGTTTTCACCTTCAAAGTTTTCTTTAGTTGTCGTCAATTAATTTCTGATCTTGTATATTTATTTGTGACTTTAATACTGGCCGAGTAAAAATATTTAGATAAATAATTGAACAAAATTCAGACTATTTTTAAAAATAATTTTTATTTTTGATAAATCCAGGTGAGAGTGTAACTACACAACATAGATTGATGGTAATGGAGTTAGGTGTACGGGAAAGAGAATAAACAAAAATAGAAGAAACAAATGGAAAAAATTGAAGATCCGGCGGTGGAAATTGAAAGGGGAAAATGAAAAAGAGTTTGTAAAGACGGTAAAAGAGAGGACGGTGTGGAATTTTGAGGGAGACATAAATGATGTGTGGAATAGATTTGCTAGTTGTGTAAAGAATACTGCAAAGGAGATTGTTGGCGAGAGTAGGAGTAGAATGCCAGGAAACAAGGAAACCTGGTGGTGAGATGAGGACGTTCAAAAAATCATAGAAAGTAAGAAAAAGCAATTCAAAGTAAAGAGCAAAAGGAGAGAAGACTGGATGGAGTATAAACGCTTGTGCAGTAAGTAAGGCGAAGTTTAAGAGGTATGATGAGTTGTATGATAGGCTAGGAACAAAGGAAGGCGAGAAAGAAATCTATAGACTTGCAAAGATAAGAGAGAAAAGGTCTCAAGATTATCATTATATAAGGTGTATAAAAAGTGCTAATAATAGGGTACTCTCAAGTGATGATGTGAAAAAAAGGTGGAAAGAGCATTTTGAAAAATTACTGAAATGAGGAGTATCCAAAAGAGACGTTAGAGGATATCTCGTAGAATGAGGGACTGATAGATTCAATTAGTGAGAAAGAAGTATCGGAGGCTGTGGCATCAATGAAAAAGAATGAATTAGTGGGACCAGATGAAGTGGCAGTAGAAGTATGGAAAATATTAGACGGTGTTGTCATAAGGTCATCTAAGGAACTTTTAAATAAAATCTTATTAGAAGGGAAAATTCCAAATTAATGGAGGAATAGTATTGTGGTGCCGATATTTAAAGGTAAAGGTGACATATAGGAGTGTGGAAATTATAGAGACATAATGCTAATGAGTCATAGTATGAAAATTTGAGAAAAGGTAATAGATAAGAGAATAAGAATTGAGACATCGGTATCTAAATTCCAGTTTGGATTTATGCTTGGTAAGTCAACAATGGAGCCATTATTTTGTGTGAGGACGTGATTGGAGAGGTGAAAAGTTTTAAGTATTTAGGATCAATTGTGCAAAAGAGCGGTGGTATTGACGAGGATGTAAGATACAGATTAAGTGCGTGTTATTGAAGTGGAGAGAAGTGTCTGGTATCTTATGCGATTAAAGAATTCCAATGAGGCTGAAAGGTTAATTTTACAAGACTGTAGTGAGACCAGCTATGATGTATGATTCAGAGTGTTGGATGGTTGATAAGAAAGTAGAGCAGAGAATGAGTGTAGCAGAGATGAGAATACTTAGATGTATGAGTGAAGTGACTAGAGAAGATAAGATAAGAAATGAGCATATTATCGTGTATAAGATGAGAGAAAATAGACTTAGATGGTTTGGTCATGTTATGAGAAGAGAAGAATCGGAAGCCGTAAGAACAGTTGTAGAAATGAATGTTGAAGGAAGAAGAGGTAGAGGAAGACCAAAAGAGAGATGGAGAGATGTTATTGAAGGCGATTTGAGGACATCTGATGTGAGCGTAGAGGATGTGGCAGATCGTGGAAGTTTAGGATAAGGGTTGGAATTAAGGCGAGGAAGAAGAAGAAGAAGGATTTTTTTTGATAAATAAAAGGATTTCTGATTACTAGTGCTAGTTTTTTGCGAGAAAACAAAAATTTAGTACTTCTTTTATATTCAGTTAACGTAATATCATAAAATATATCAAATTATGAATATATTTTCGCATGTTAGGCAAAGTTGCATAACTATATTTTTATAAACTGAAGGGCTTGTGTCAACAACCAGATGAATCCACTTTTTAATGGAAATTTACAATGAAAAATTATTTTTAGAAATTAGACGCAATAACACCAAATTAAGTCGAACAAATTTCATAGTGTAATTACACAAATAAATTTATATTGTACATAATATCGCATGCTTGACAAAACTCGAAAAGAAAGAAAAATCAGTTTTTTGTTAGTTAACAATGGAATCAAGATTTTTTTATACTCAATTATCTCACAAAGTACTAGAGATATATTAATTCATAAACACTTAAAAAATCTGTCAATTTATTATATATACATTTGTTAACCTTTAAACTTATTAAAAAATAAATTTCAATAAAAAATTTTACCTTGTATAAGGAAGTTCATTAGTTCAGCGTTTCCGTTTTTAACTTTGTTTTTTTCTATTATAAAATAAAGAATTTTACAAGGCAGCCATTTTCTTGTTTACAATTTTATATTAATTCAAAAGGAATTTCGACGCTGATTCCGTATCTAACTTCAGATCACATTTATTTTTTGGAATAATTATTACATCACCACTCATTTACTTAAGAAATAAAGAATATATTGGAAAAAAAAATTTTAGATTCATATCTTATAACTTAATAATTTAATTTATTATAATAACTGGTCGATAAAAGCTTTTTGACTAATGCTTTAAAAGTTATAAAAATGTAATTTGACGGTTGGAGGCGAGTAGAGAATTTTGCTATTTTTATCACTTGTCAATTACCGACCATATTTTTCGTCCCGCCTAAGTATAAGATTTAGAATTACTTTGAAAGAACTAGTCCAGAATTTGATATTCACAGTCATTTTATATTAGATAATTTCCTATTTTATAAGTTCATTCTATATGTATGTGACCAATTAAAAAAATTAAGTCGAAACCTCCATATGTTATTAGGGATAATCCTAAAAAGTAATTAATAACAAATAAATCAAAAAATATTTGTAACTAAAAAAAAATTTTTTATTTAAGATTCTCTTTGAAGCACTTCTAATATATTTGTTATTTAATTATTGTCTACTCTCGTTACATATTGGATGTGCAGTTAACTGTCATCCTCCCAGGTGAGCCCTCTCCCGCTTCAATTAAAGCGATTTAGACAGGTTTAAGGTAAGACGGCATTCTAGTACGGTTCACAACTAGCCGGCTTATGGTCTAGCTGCCTCGTACGAAACACTTATGTTATAAAAACTTATTTAATTATGTTTAAAGCAATTCTTAAGGGAGGTTTAAATTCCTCTTTCCTACTCTTTGCATTGTATAAATTCATAATTATGATATTAATTTATATTTATATTTAGAAAAAAAAAAGATATTAAATAATTTGTATAAAATAATTACCTATATTGATATAGTACGGCAAATTTGAATATTTTGGTATCATTTGCTTATCTAAATATAAAAAGGGAATTTAATTAATTAATTCATTTAGTGCCTTTGTATATATCACCTATAAATATTAAACTACACAGTTTCCAAGTCAAATTTCTATGTGGCATGAATAGTGTAGTAAAAAAAAACTACCAATTTCACCCCCATCAGACTTATTACATTAAAAATTAAATTCAGATAGGTAATCGTTCTTTTGAGTGATTTAATCTTAAATTATACTTATTTATTATCCGAATAAAAATGTAACTAGTATATAACNAGGAATAACTCGAGATAACGATAATGTAATTATTATGGGCGATTTCAATGCGGTAGTAGGAGAAGGACAAGACAATCAAATAGTAGGCAAACATGGCTTAGGAACAAGAAACATCCGAGGTGAAAGATTAGTCAATTTTTGTAAGCAGAACACTTTTCTAGTTACTAACACAATGTTTGAAGTACCAAAAAGAAGACGCTATACATGGGTAGCACCAGGGGATACTAATCGTTACCAAATTGACTATGTGTTAGCAAAAAGCCGTTTCAAGAACCAAATAATAACAAGTCACAGTTTTCCTGGTGCGGAAATCGATAGCGATCATAACCTAGTAGTGATGAAGTACAAAATAATACACAAGAAAATTACAAAGCGACCCAAATGTAAAATATGGGACATAGAAAAACCTAAAAATGAAGAAATAATACAAGAGTTCCAAAACAAGGTTCATAACAGAGTGATAGCTGATGGTATCAACCTACCATGGGAAAAAGTGGTTAACAATATTCGGCAATCTGCTGAAAAATCAATTGGATTTAGAAAACTAAATCCAAGGAAACCATGGATAACGAATGAGATAATGGACTTAATAAAATACCGCAACAAATTAAGGAAGACTGATGATTCGATGTATAGAATAATAAAGAACCGTATTACCCAAAAGTGCAGAGATGAAAAGGAGATATGGAGGGATGTAACATGCGAAAACATTAAAGCAAATATGACTGCAAATAGAATGGACAAAGCATATGGAATGATTAAACGATTGTCAAGATTACCGAAGCCAAGAAGCAAAATTGTTAAGGATATGAATGGACAACTGATTCTAGATGAAGATGGCATAGCGACGAGATGGAAAGAGTACATAGAATATTTATATGAAGATTGTGTAGGAGAAAACGACAAAAATATTGAAAATATAAGTGAGTCAAACAGAGAAGACATAGGGCCAAATATATCAAAAAGCGAATTTATTAAAACACTAAGTGAATTGAAACAAGGTAAAGCGGCAGGAGTAGATGACATCCCGGCAAAACTATTAAAAAACGTCGGAAAAGATACCGAGAATAAGCCATTTGAAATGATTGAGAAAATGTATAGGAATGGCAACATTCCTGAGGACTTTGCCAAAAGCAAAATTGTACTTATCCCTAAAAAAGGGAATTTCACAGAATGCAAGAATTCCAGAACAATAAATCTCTTAACACATGCGTCCAAAATACTTCTTATCATCATAAAAAATAGGATAAGTACAAAAACCGAAGAGGAGCTTGATGAAGACCAATTCGGGTTTAGACAGGGAGTTGGTACAAGAGAAGCAATTTTAGCTCTAAGGGTACTCACCGAAAGGAGGCTAAATGTAATTAGAAATACATTTATAACTTTTATAGATCTAGAAAAAGCCTTTGACACAGTTAACTGGGCTTTATTGATGAACTCTATGAAAAGAACTTGAATAGATTGGAGGGACAAAAGAGTAATAATGTTACTATACAAGAAACAAGAGACCTTAATAGAGGTAGGAAAACATAGTGCAACAGCAAAAATTAGAAGAGGGGTAAGACAAGGTTGTTCCTTATCACCTTATCTGTTCAATTTATTTGTAGAAGAAATCATAGACAAGTATAAGAGAAACTCTAAAGGAATAAGCATAAATGGAGAAAAGATACACTGTATACGATTTGCAGATGATATTGCTTTAGTGTCTGAATCGGAAAGACATGCAAAAATCTCTAACTACCGTCACTAAAATATTGCAGGAGTATCAAATGAAAATAAAACAAAGGCAATGGTGGTAACTAAAGCAAAAGAAATTCCATTAGTGAGGTTGGAAATAGATAATAACTTAATTAAACAGGTTCAACAATTTAAGTATCTAGGAAGTACGATTACTAGCGATGGTAAATGCTCAATAGAAATTAGACAAAGAATAGCTATGGTAAAGAGAGCATTTATGCAAAAACTGCAGTTACTTACAAACAAAAAACTTAAAATAAAGATGAAAAAAATTTTGTCAAATGCTATGTATGGAGCGAACTACTATATGGCTGTGAAACATAGACCATCAATGGACAAGACGAGAAGAAGTTGGAAGCCATGGAAATGTGGACATGGAGATGGTTGCTGAAAGTCAGCTGGACAGAAATGAAAAGTAACGTAGATGTATTAAACCAAGTAGGGGAAAAAAGAATTCTGTTAAACGCCATAAAAGAAAGAAGTGGAAAAATTTTCGGTCACCTATTAAGGCACAATTCATTTATAACAAATATATTTGAAGGATGAATAAATGGACACAAAGGTAGAGGTAGACCGAGGAAAGCATATATAGAAGAAATGATAAGACAAGCTGACTGTAGTCGATACATAGACATCAAAAGATTGGCTTTTAACAGAAAAGAATGGAGAACCAGGTTTGCAACGACAAGGCAAGGCCTTTAGTAGAGAAGAAGAGAAGAGAAGAGAATCTATTAATATTGCCTCAAAATATAATTTTTTTATTGTCATTGATACACACAAACGATTTAAATTTGGAATAGATAATTTTCATTTAAACTCATACAAAATATCATTTAATGTACTTTATCCACTAATAAATAATAAAATTTAACAAGAGTGTTCATTTGTTCAGTTTTGACTCAACTAAAAAAAAGAGGAAAATCTCTCTTAAATTTAATTGTAAATAGCTACATCCATCTATTGCATATAAATCACAATATTTGAAACAATTAGACACTAATCGAATTTACAAAATATAATTTACCAATTAAGTTAATTTAAACAATTAAAAAAAAATTAGAAGGGAAATATTAATTTCAAAACAATAATATGTGCGTGCTTAATTTCCAAATTTAGCTTTCTACTACATTTGTATGTATGTTATTTATAATTAAAAAATCTTACTATTTATAACTTCGTCTGGTACTAGTACATCGATCATCTTAATGTCTGTGTTAAAATAGAAACCTAAATTGTAAAATTTTTCTATAATAATCTTTTTAATTTCATTATTTAATTTTTTATTCAAAGATTCCATTAAAGTGTTTTTATCATTTTGTGAGTTCAGGTTAATAAATATCATCAATTTTTGCAGTATTGCATTAGATCTATTTTCTTCAAATATTATACAACGTTTTAATTTATTCTCCATTTCATTATTAATGTTACTATTGCATATATCAAAAATCCATATAATTTCTGATAAGATTCCTAAGCATGAAGATGGACTATTTTTTAATGGAACACTACTGATATCCACTTTTTGTAAAAGTGACAAATAACCATATAATATATAATCATTTGTTGTGCCATCTAATGGGATACTATATAACGAATCCAATAAAATCAATGATTCTTTCATGACTGTTGCCAATAAAGTTATTTTCTTAGTTATACTCAATATATATATGGTATACTTATAGATATTATCCTTATCATTAAATGCATCTCGACATATGTTACAATAAAGAATTACCATATCGAATATTTTTTTTAAATCATTAGCGTATGTACAACCAAGTATTAAAGCAGCGGCACGTACTTTTTTATTGCTTGTATCTCGATTAGCAATTATATTAATATTATCTAATTTGTATATTATATTACCATATTTCACAATATCTATGTCAGTTAAATGTTTCCATCCATCGTATTTGCAAATGCTATTAATTATAGCTGCTTTTCTAAACGAACTAGTATCTGTTTCAATAGACACAATTGCATAAAGTAATAAAATACAAATTTCAAGAAATTTAATAGAAAACATTTTTAAGTATAATCGTATAAAACTATAGTCAAGATTCAAATTATATAAATGTGCTGTAGATAAATCTTCAAAGTTCAAGAAATCCTCAATATTGTCTTTTTACATTTATATTTATTTAGGTGGTATTTTGAATATTAAAAATAGTGTTATAAGACAATTTAGTTGTTATTCAAAAAAATATAAATCTGAAAAAATGTGCTTAATTAACTAAATCAAATTTTTTATGTTAGCAAGAATTCTATTATATAATTTAAAATTCTATGCTAATCTGACAGATTATATATTTTTTTGCTAAAACCTTTTTTTTAACATGGAAATTTTTAGATACATATTTAATTAACTTTTAAAACAGAAAATTATAGCTAATAAAACTATAACTAATTAAAACTATTAACTAATAAAAAATGACTGATAAGAACTTTTATTCAGAACAATTCAGAAGTTACTAACCATTTGATGTAATAACTTTTGATAAAGAGTGAATGTTGATATTTTTATCATTGGTTATTTCATTACTCATCTTGTCTAGATATACAAATGTTATAAACTGCTGAAATACTAGACCAAATGTTGTTATAGACAAGTAATGTTCTACATTACATCACTTTATATTTTATAAACTAGTTAAATATAAATGGCTCCATTAGAAAACTGTTGATACCTTTATAATGCATAAAAATGAATAAAAAAATATAAAAATTATAAAAAAAATAAAAAAATTATAGGATAAATCAAAATTTTATGTAACTTAAAAAAATGAGAAAAATATCTCAAAATTATTGTTATTTTACGTATAATTGATATACGAATCACTCTGTATATGGATAAAATTAAATGTCATTTAAATAAAATCAATTTGTAATGTATAATACTATATTTAACAGAACTAACATTTTTTATAATGTGTTATTCACTTATTATTTAACATATTTTATTTTGTTGTAAAAAATTTCTTTATTTTTTTATAAAACTGTATAATAATAAGTAGAATTTTACTCTTTATAGTAATAAAAATCATAAATTTTACTCCAAACTTAAGTTACTTCTTTCTTACTTGAGAAATTTTTTTACTACAAATCTCTTAGATTTATGATACGGTACCGTTTTTTTCTCAGTTGCGCATCATGTTATCAACCTATACTATATTACACTATTATCAGGATCTGCATCATAAGGTTTGGTTCTAGGACGCTTTAGGTTATAGGTTTTAATCCCGTACCGCTCTTTTTTTTTCATAAATTTCCGGTACACTTTCTATAACCAGCTGTCATTCCTTGGCGACCGTGTTTTATAGATGTATTAGTATAGTACATAACAATTCATTAATATGCCTATTACGTAGAAAATACATACACTTATACATAATGTAATTGATTAAATGTACGAATCGCATAATTACATTCAAATTAATACAATATAGTCCCATACTTATGAATAAAAATCAAGTAACACAATACGTAGACATTTTATATTCCAATATTTTGGACAGATTCGAAAAGTTTTTAAACAAGTGTTAAAAATGGGAAACTTTTTGTGTTTAGGGAGTTTAATTCTAGGCTAGTGGTTATTAGACATCGAATAGTATAATATCTATGTATCATATTCTAAACAATTGGGTGACGTGTCATAGTCGGTTTATCATACACCATTTGTTATTAATGAAATAAAGAAAATATTGGAAAAAAAATGTTTGATGTCATTTAGTGACATAATTCTTGATTTATCATCTATTAATTACTTTTTTAATAATTACTTATAGGGGTGTCAACTGTATTTATTAAATAACATCATACATGTTTAACTAATTATAAAGTAGGAAATAATCTAATTAAGAAGATGAGAATGGCCGATAACAACTTTTTGACTAATAGTTCAAAAGTTATTAAAAATTTAATTTAAAGAATGTAGGTAGGGAGTGACTGTTGCTATTTTTATCTCCAGCAATTTTCACTGTACTCTCATCAGGAGCATCATTTGGGGAGAGTCAAGGTGTACAACCACACCCCTTACTTTAAAAACAGTCCCGATTGGCCTGCATTAATAATGCACCAATTTTTTATACATCTATTCAAATTTAAAAAAATTGTATTATCATGGTTCAATAAACAAATATTCTAGTAACAATTAATTGAGTAAACAATGAATATATCATACTGAACTATATTCGTACTGGACGCAAGATATTAATATTGATGTTCGTAACAGTTTTAGCTTCGATACGAATCTGAGAAGGTATTAATTTTACCATGATATGTTTAATTTTTCTCTTTTGTATCTATCATTACTTTTTCTCAGCTCTCACTGGACCGATTTTGATGAACAATATGTTAAAAGATTACAAATCGTATTTAGTTGAAGATATTACCCTCAAAAATTGAACAATTTTCCCTAGTTCCCCATAAATGGTTAAAATCTTCTAAAAAATTACGTTTATTAAAATGGGTAAATGTCGATATTTTTTTCGCTTTTTTTTAAAAAATTGCCATAACTTATTGAAGGATGAACTAACCAAAATAATTTTTTTTATTTAAACACCTTACGTATTTTCTTTTTATTTTAAATCAATTTTATGATAATATACCCTTTGCCTTGCCACAAAGGGGGGATTCAAGATAACAACTTTTTTTACAAAACTCAACTTTTCAACTTAAGTTTTAAAGATGTTATATTTATAAAATTTTATGACTGATAAAGTAAGTTTTTTTTAATTTTTGAGTGTAATATGTTTAACTATATACTAGTTGATCACAACTAGTTCTATTTGACATATCGTTAAAAAAAATTAGTCAAGTGAAAGCTAAGAAAGTAAATGACAACCATAAAATAAATCACATAATAAAATTATTTTAATATGAATAAGAATTTTCACCTCACGAGAGGGACTACAGTGATGGGATCCTTGATAATCTTTAAAATTATTAAATATAAATGAGACAAAAATCAAATGATTTTTATTTATTCAAACTTAAAATATTTACAGTTGAAAACAATACCGCATATCAAGGATCGCACAAAAATTCAAATTAAGAACCGTTTTCAAACCAAACACAGTTGCAGGATCACTACTCCGAAACTCGAAAGATATACTGCCAGAGATGCAAACACCAGGAGTATATGAAATACCGTGTTCATGTGGTAAATCTTACATTGGACAAACAGGAAGAGCTATTGCGACAAGAATAAAAGAACATGAAAAAGACATGGAGTACCAAAGAACAGAAAAATCTGCAGTAGCTGAAAATACCAAAAACAGAGGACATGACATACAATTCGATAAAGTAAAAATACTAAACAATGAAACTCATTTTGGCAAACGGATGTACAAGAAAGCAATAGAAAACCAAAAATGTCCGGAAAATTTCAACAGAGAAGATAGATGGAAAATCAGCAAAACTTGGTTACCTATCATACACCAGACATAAAGGAAATCAACTAACAACACCGAAAATAATTCAATATACGAAGAGGCTACAATCAACATAACAAATAATTGCCGATGTAGGAAAAGAAGACCGAAATGTCAAGAATATCGTAAAAAACGTTAGTCAAAAATCGAAATGTTATCAACAACATTAGTCAAAAACCCAGATACGGTAAACAACGTTAGTTAAAAGCCCTGATTCGGCAAACAACGTTAGTCAAAAACCAGATGTTATCAATTTTATAAAAGTAGACTGTTATCAAGATAAGCCGCCAGTATAGTTGCAGCCACTGACTAGCAACCATCACTTTGGAGATAGACTCTGCAATGAGTATGAAACGTCAGAACTCAACTGCAAACATGGATATATCTTCAAGCGACGCAATACTTAATTGATAAATATGAAATGAATTAGAATCAAATTTAAAATAATTTATTCTTTGATAGTACGTTAATTACAGCCGCAACATAATAGTGTAATGCATACGTTCATTTCTATTTATTAGTACTTGAACACAAGGATCATAAAATTTAATTCCTTATTGTAAATTACACATATATTTTTTTTGTGTTTTACACTTTAAAAAAAAAACTCCACTGCAAACATGGATATCCTCAAGCACTTCAAGCAATAAGACAATCCATGAAAGCTTAAATTTAACACATTCATCAAAAAATTTAGAAAAAATTAAAAAACTATAATCCTAGTTGGGGTTTGAACTTCTTACCACGAGCATTAAATATACAAGTGTTACCGACTTGGCAATGGCAATTTAAGCTAGTTCAAATTTTAAATTTATTTTTCTCGACTTAAAAGAAGCAAAAAACTTTAAATAAGTTTAACTTTCTATACTATGTCAATTATATTTATATAATATTTACGAAAATCAGTTTACTCCCTTTGTAAGGCATTTTAAAATAAAATAAAATATAAAAGCATGAATTCTAACACAAATATAGCATATTTTTTAATACAGTATATGGCTACAGTAGCAATTTTCACCATGAAAACATTTAAATAGTTCAACATATTTTTTAGCTTCGATGCGAAGCTGAGAAGGTATTGGTTTTACTATGATGAGTTTGTTTTTTTTTTTTGTGTCTGTTACCACTTTTTTTCAGCTCTCACCGAAATGGATTTCTTTCAACGATATGTCAAAAGATCACAAGTCGTATCTAGTCTAAGACACTACCCTCAAAAATTGAAAAAATTTCCCTCGTTCCCCGTAAATAGGGGAAACCTCCAGAAAATTTACAAATTTAAAAATCGCTAATTTTCGAAATTTTTTCAATTTTTTTTACTAAAAACTGCCGAAACTTTTTCAAAAATAATCATATCAATAAAATTTTTTTTTTATAGATGCATGATGTCTTTACCTATCATTTAGTATTTTTTTTTATAAATCTGACTTTTTACCTGCCTACAGGGTCCCCCCCTACAAAATGACAACTTTTTCACAAAAAATTAACTTTTTCAACTTAACTTTTGAAAGTGTTCCGGAAAGTCTGACACTTTTATATATATCTTAAATTAAAGCTTATGTAATGTACTATATTATGCAAAAATTTTAGACTTTATTTTGTATACATGGTGAAAATGGCTATCAAATGCTATTATTGTGTGAAAATTCTCGATATTATTTTTTACATTTTTAACTTTATAATACTGTAACTTATTGAAAAGTGTATGGACCAACACAGTTTTTTTATGAGAATTAATATTTTTTAATAATCCCTTTTTCATTCGACATACTTAATCTTAATCAGGATATTAATAACAAACTAGCAGATTATGTAGCTTTTGGAATAATTCATCAATTTTTTTAAATTAAACACTATCTAAAGATTTGCATCGAAGCGTTTTTTTTTTTTTGATAGTGATTTTAATCACTGTTAGATATCATTGACAATGATCAGATATCATTATACTTGATCCAACTATGCCGCGACCCACCTATGCTGGGTTTTTTTTTAATTTAATTATATTACACACGTTTAAATTTAAGATATATAAAAGTGTCACTATTTTCAAAACACTTTCAAAAGTTAAGTTAAAAAATGTATTATTTTGAATACCCCGTGTAGAAAGGTAAAGGTTCAGATTAATAATAATTATTTTTGGAGATTTCCCCCATTTATGAAAAACGAGATAATTTTTATCAATTCTGAGGGTAATATCTTTGACTAGATACGATTTTTTATATTTTGACGTATTATACATTAAAATCGGTCTAGTGAGACTGAGAATAAGTGGTAACAGACACAAAAAATTTAACACATCACAATAAAATTAATATAATTGCATTAGTTATAAATAGAGATGTTAAGTTCGTGAACGAATAGTTCATTTGAACTATTCACTTAGATGAACTATTCTGAACTGTTTCAGTACCTGTAACTTAACAGTTCACAGTTCGAAAAAAATTGGTAGCAATTTATAAATGAAATAGTTCGCGAACTTCTTTAAAATTTCTGTGGTTCGTTGTTCGAAATACTGTAAATGGTTAATAGCTGTTTACAATTAGATAACAAATAAATTATATTGTTAAAATGTTACACGGTTTTTAACTGTTTAACAATAAAATAAATTCATACTATGTAAAAATATTAGATCAAATTTCTGATTTAACTTAGGACTACTGGTCAGTATATCTACCTTGAATTAGGTGATAATGATAACATGAGCCATGAGGGTATTGATAATAATTTTTTCTTAGTTTATGATGTTCAGGTTAAGGGTTAGTTTATAACTTAATTGCCCATAAGTAGTGTGAACTACAACTGAACTGTGTACTGCTATACTAATAGTGATAAAATGAATAGTTCATTGCCAAACAGTATCAGCATGATCAATAAAATTAGTGAACTTAAGAATAGTTCATTTGAACTATTCACTTGAATGAACTATGAACTAATGAACTATTCACAGAAATGAACTAAACTTTCCATCTCTAGTTATAAATATATATATATTTAGTATAAATAATCATTTATTAATAGAACTGTTTGTATGTTATTCGTGTAAGGTTTTGATAATGATAATTTAATTTTGTTATTTATCTTAGTCAATAAAATTCAAAATAAACTTTATAATTTATATTTTTATGTCAATTTTGTGATAAAATTCTTAAGCAATCACGCAGTATAAAGTATAAATAAATAAAAATATAAAAAGGAATGCAACATAACTACATTATTTATTATCTTTTTATTACATATAATTTGATTTTTTAAGCTTTGGTACAATAATATCTTTTTTTCAATCATTATAAATAAATAGATGTGTGTAAATTAGTCGTGTATGTCTTAAATATATACTCTTAATTAGTTTTACAGAAAAATTTTAATTAAATATTATAAATTTTGCTGAATTTCCTCTCAATTTGCAGTTATTTTTTTGACAAAAACTTGAATAAAATAGCTTATAAAAAAAAATTCTGTCTTACTATAACTTCAATTTTTTATGGTTCAATTCGGATGAGTCAGATGAATCCAAATTCTGAAGTAAACTTTCGTAAATTAATTCTGTGTCATCATACTCTTTGTCAACTGAGTTTACGTCAACTGATTTTTCAGCATTTAAATTTTGGCCAGTTAATTTTACAACATTTAAATTTTTGTCAGAATTTAATGCTGGAAAAATAAAAAAATTTAAAAATACATTTAAGCAACATTTAAATTTTAATAAAACATTTATTTTTTCGATAAATCAGTATTTTCTTCATAGTTTTGTTGAAAATTATATAAAACATAATTATTCTTCAAGGAGTTATGAAAAATAGGAATTAAATTCGAGTAATAGTTATTAAAGAAAAGATTAACGATACTTTAACTCTTTTATCGTACGGAACTGATAAGAAAAAAAAAGGTTGCTATTCCTTATGTTGTGTTTCTTCAAAATGAAAGCATTATATAACTTCTAGATAAGCAAATATTTGTTTTATGTCAAAGTTTCAAAATAGTACACAGTTAATATATATATATAGAATAAAAAGGTACTACTCGTGAATCCTATTCATTTTCATCGATATTTTTCAGAATATTTTCACTTAACTTGAAATTATCAATCTAGTTCTGTTGTTTTTTGTATAGTATTTTGCAAAACGACTTAAAAAAAATTAAATATAATAACAATATATTTTATAACTTATATGTTTAATTTATAATCACTCCTAAAAAAAACCCAGCACAGGAGTGTTGCGGCTCAGTAGTGACGTGGTATAGTTGGGTCAAGTATAATGATATCTGACGGTGATTTAAAGCTACATGATCTTCTATTTCCTTATTCATGTCCTTATTAAGATAAACTATGTCGAATGAAAGAGGAATATAATTATTATTTCTCATAAAAAATTTTATTGATTCATACACTTTTCTATAAATTATAGAATTATAAAGTAAAAATGTAAACAATAAAATCGAGAATTTTCACATAATAATAGCATTTGATAGCCATTTTCACCATGAAGACAAAATAAACTCTGAAATTTTTGCATAATAAAGTACATTACATTATCTTTAATTTAAGATATATATAAAACTGTCAGAGTTTCCGGGACACACTCAAAAGTTAATTTTTTGTGAAAAAGTTGTCATTTTATATCCCCTCTGTGGGTTAATAAAGGGTCAAATTTATTTTAAAAAATATCAAATAATAAGTAAAGACATCATGCAATTAAAAAAAAAATTTATATAGATTTAATCATTTTTTAAAAAGTTATAGCAGTTTTAATTAAAAAATATTTTTGGAGATTTCCCCTATTTACTGGAACGATGGAAATTTTTCAATTTTTGCGGGTATCGTCATCGATTATATACAATTAGTGATCTTTTATCGAATCGTTGAAAGAAATTGGTTTGGTGAGAGCTGAGAAAAAGTAATAGAGATATTTTATTCCAAATCACATAAAAATTCGTCATTATAATATGTACGAATTTCTCGAGAAAAATAATAAATTTTAAAAATGTTGAGTTAGGAAATTTTTTTATAGATGATGACAAACTTTATTATTAACTTCAACCGCATTGTAAACTAAAAAAACATTGTAATGTTATTATTTCACCTTCAAAACTATTTTACGAATAATATCATTGAAAAATTTTACCATTTTTAAGAAAGTCTAATAATTCTGCGACTCCGGTTTCAGTTTTCTTTTTTTTTTCTATTAAAAAATAAATAATTATTAAAATTTGAGTGGTGTATAATATATATTTGTTAACTCAATGATACAGTTGATCTGAAAATTAATAGTTTTATTTGTTTATAAAACTGAATAAAATCAAAAACCCAATTAACACGAGAACAACACAATGATTCTCGGCAGTTATAGATTTTTCATGTTTTAATAAACATAATTCCCTATCAAATATTTTATAACTAATTTGTTTTCATTTAAGAAAAAATCTTTATGAAGTATTTGAACTCCCCTTTTCTATACCTCTTATAACCGGAATAGTATTATTCTTCATTACAAATTTAACTAAAAATATTGATATTATCATAAAATAAAGCTTTGATACATTGTGCATAAAGAAAGGCTTTAGAACAACTGTTTAAGAGTAATAATGTAATCAACAAGATATGATTGGTTTCTTTTTATGAATTGACCGTCAATAAAACACTTATGTCCATTACTATTATAATAAAGGAAAAGAAATAAAATAGTTTGAAATTTACATCGCACAAAATAGTAAAATTATTATATACTTAGCTTTGCATTAATGCTAAAAAATAAAATTTCATTTTACAAAAATAAAAATTGAAAATTATAGTTTAAAATGTGTAACTCTATATCTTTTAATATTTTTCTTGTGTTGTAGATAAATTTAATGTTTTGTTAATAATCGTTCCTTATATGACACATACGTTAGTTTCCACTGTTAATACTGTATGATTTTAATACTTAATATGATTAATGCTATGATTAATACTTATATGATTTTAATTTCTTCTTTTTACTATTCAATAAATTGTTAGGTTGACACTCTCTCCTAAATCGTTGTCATTGACGGTGTGTCTCGTCCGAATGTGTCGAAAAAACGCAATCTTCTCTATCAATTACTACAGTGATCTTTTTCTGTTTGTGTGCAATCAACTTTTATCACATGTGACAGATTTTTTAATATATAGTAACTTTTTTAGGCGTCGACCATTTTCATTTTCGATATCCCCATCTTAGGATGTGTCCCTTCAGAGACAGGATATCGTATTATTTTTATATATAATAACAATGTTTTGAGAAGTTTCTATTTAATTTAATTTAATTAATTGTATTATGACACAGATGTAATTTCGTAGATATCTAGAATGAAACTATATTATTTTTTTTAATAATCAGAAAATTATTATTATTGTTAATCTAATCCTTTTTAATTTATTTAAAATGAAATCATAATTTTTTTAACAATACAGATGTATCCAAATACCATCTAAAAGTTGTAGGTCGAGATTTTTTTCTTTTCTCTCAATATTCAGAGAGGTTTTAGCCTTCGGATTTGTCTACTATTAAATTAATTGTTATAAATAAGTTCCCTTAATTATCTTATTAAACAAAATCTTTTTTTGTCTCAATTATTTCAATATTCAATTGTATCTTATTTTTTCACCTCTAATAATTTTCTTTAGCTCTAAGGTAACACTCTTAGACTACCACTGGTGACATCAAATAAAATACATTTTGTTTTATTTACAAGGTATCAGCGTTTTATAGACTGCAACAACTTTTTACAATTTATTCATATATCTTATTGTACAATAAAACATTGAAAAATTAGCCAATACTGGAAAAATTACTTAACAATGTATGATTTTCATAATCTTAATCATAATCGCCAACTCGGCGACATTATTCTAGGGAAATTATTCGTGAAAAATGAAAAAAAAATTTTAACAGCGTTTAAAAATTTTATCAAAACCGCTCATCTATGTCAGCGTTTTTCGATTTAAATTCTAAAATTTTTACCTGGACTTTCCAGAAAAATTCCAATGGTATTCTTATAATTTCGTTGAAATCTATTTTTTTTTTTTTAATTCCACGCGCATTGTTTATAATAGGATTTGATTTTACTTTGAGCGTCTAAATAATTCAAGAATAATGTGAAACTAAAGATAATCAAAAAGAAAAATGTTTAAATTATATTTAGTCTATAAGTAATTGAGTGGGTTATGATAAAAAAATCACTCTGTATACATTATAAATGTAGTGGGTACCATTGGTATCTAGATGGCACCACTTCCAGGGTCTGGAGATAGATAGTGGTATCAAGTATATAGAGGGAGATTAAGTCAAATCGTGATTTGGCTATATACATAAGACGTGTCTCTATGTATATTCTTTAGTTTATAAATGTATTCTGTTTTATATAATATTTTAGTGTTGTGTGAATATTTTATATAGAGTTTTCGTGTGTAATTAAATATATGTGTTATTTTTGTTTGATAACATTTAATAGAGTTTTTGTGTATTAATTTATATATATATATATATATATAAATTAAATAATAGTATTGCGTCTTCGCTCTGTTCCTGTAATTGCCTGTTTGCATTT